TCTTGTCTTGCATGATGGCTGCCATGGGAGGTGTCATCTTCGGCTATGACATCGGTATATCAGGTATGACTCTTGCTTTAAATAGAAACCTTAAGCCTCTGTTTTGGATGTGAAAAAAATAAAATATGGGAGAAAAAAAAACTGAGAAAAAAGACATTTTTCGCTGTTATTTTTCTTTAATTTCCCCTTAGAGAAAGGAAAACTAAAGAAAAAGCTTTATGTTACGAGAGAGTCTCTTTCACCTACTTTTTTTTCTTGAAGTTCCTCTGATTTCATATGAGGAAAATTAAAAGGAAAAATTTTATACTAGTAAGAGAAAATGTCTTTTTTTTTCATAATTTTATTTCTTTTTATTTTCTTTACATTACAGACGAAAGGTAAATCTTGCCAACAAAAGATAAAATGATGGTTGTGTCGAATACAAAGGACTCGTTTCTCTTTAAATAAAGTCAAATATTCGAACCTTGTGATGGAAAGATCACAATATAGAGGACTCTATTTGATTAGACTTGATAACATTTGAATGAATATATGTAAATATATATATATATATATATATTAGCCCAATCAAGACTTAGCTCACCCTTCAACTAATGTGAGGGTTTTGTTAGCGGTTAATTTCTAAATACCATATGTCTCAAAACCTGTCTAAATCATATTCCTAGTGAATCCTCTCTCACACACACACACACACACATATATATATGACTAGGCCAAACTCAGATAAGCTTTTTCTTACAGCAAAAGAGAATTCCCAAATCTATTTTCAACATCATGACAATATCTGCATGCATGGGTGCTTTGATGAACTAAAAGGAATGAATATGAAGGTGGGGTGACATCAATGGAGGCATTTCTGGCGAAGTTCTTCCCAGAGGTATACAAGAAGATGGAGGAGGACACAGAATTGAGCAACTACTGCAAATTTGACAGTCAATTACTGACCTCCTTCACTTCGTCGCTCTACGTCGCCGGGCTGCTGACTTCTGCCGCCGCGTCGTACGTCACCAGAGCTTTTGGAAGAAAGCCTTCCATTACTGCAGGAGGAGCTGCGTTTCTTGCTGGTGCAGCCATTGGTGGCGCAGCTCTTAATGTCTATCTGCTCATTCTTGGTCGTCTTTTGCTTGGCGTTGGAGTTGGCTTTGCAAACCAGGTAATAACAAGGTTTCAGTACATAATTGCTACATCATGTTTAGAACATAACCAAAAAAAATATATGTCTCTTTAATCATCATGTATGTTATAAAATAAAAGCATAATCTTTTTAGGAGAATGACTCTTTAAATCCTAAAAGAGTAAATTAATAACTTCTAGGTTCTTGATAAAATTTTTAGAAAAATAAGTTGTCAATATTCATTCAAATAATTGTAAATTCAGGAGTTTTACTTTTAAATAAAATATTTAAATTATAAATGTAATTCTCAGTTTGCAATTGGAATTTCTATCTGCAAATATCCTAATCAATATTTGAAACTAATTTTTTAGAACTTATTAAGCTAAGATTTTAATACTTACTGTTCTTTTAATATTTGTAGTGAGTCTGTTTTAGAGCAAAATTAAGCTATGATTTTTTTTATATTGTAAATTTTATTAATCCCAATCGGTTTTTCTTCTCTCTTTGAAGAAATACTACTATGCGTCTTGCAATCCCGTCCCTTCAAGGAGGGAAGATCAAGATTTTGATTCCTTTATTTAAGAATGATGATTTAAGCAGTACCAATAACAGAGAGGAAGTTATAGGGAAACCATTTTATATTAACCCAATTTAATGATTAGACTGATCAATCGATACCAATATATCATATAAACTTAGAGGATTCAACGAGAAGGAAACTCCATGTTTCACCATAGATAGATTCACATCCACAAAACCTCAACAGCTTAGGGTTCATTTGGATTTGTAGCTTTTAACATTCAGAAAGTATTTTTTTTATTTTTCAAAAGTCAAATATTGTTTAATTTTCAATTTTTTTAAGAACTCCATTTAAAAAAAAATTCAGATATTGTTAAATGTACTTTTTGCTAACTGGAAAACATGAAACTTTCAAAAAGTGAATTTGAAAAGGTTGATATTATTTTACCATATCACCCCAAGTTTAATATTTTATTTTTTTATTTAAAAAATAGTTAGTTCATTAAAAATATAATTATTATTTCAATAATAATAATTAGGTATCAAGTTTTTAGCCTTATAAATTAACTAATTAATCATATTAATTTTTAACATTAACATATAAAAAAATTACAAATCTTTATATTTTTTAAAGTTACAAATTAAAAAAGTACAAATAATTAGAGATTAAGTTCTTAACATTATAGATTGAATTTTATATTATTTAAAATCTTTATCATATTTTTTAAATATTTTAAATATATTACATTTGTATAATAAAAATTATAAATCATCATAAATCAATGTCCTTTTTAATAATTGTACATTCAAAAGCACATTTCACTGTCATAATTCAAACAACTTTCAGTGTATTAAACTGACTTTTGAAAAAATATATCTAATCACAAATTTCATTATAATAACTGACTTTTATTAAACTAACTTTTACCAAATGAACTTTCAATAAATAAACTTTTAATAAATTAAAAATTAAACACACACTTAATTCAAACGACCTAATTCTCTTGCCCATGAGATATACTAGACATGGCTATGATCTAGCTCCAATCATTTTTTTTTTTTCGAATATCAATAAAGGATCCTGGAAGAAACTTAATTTCTTAAAAGGATTTCTGATAAATAAACATTAACAAATTAATTAGTAACGTCATTATTTTAAGAGGTATTCTTCCTGTCCAAAATTCTTGTCAGATATTAAATTTTTTTAAGAATTTTTCATTGATTCTCCCTTTTTTAACGCTAAGAATGTCTTGTTACTTCTCCACTTGTTCTGCAGTCAGTTCCTCTATATCTATCAGAAATGGCACCACCAAGACTAAGAGGAGCAATCAACAATGGATTCCAATTCAGCATTGGAATTGGAGCTTTATGTGCTAATTTCATCAACTATGGCACACAGAAGATCCAAGGTGGATGGGGTTGGCGTATCTCACTTGCCATGGCAGGAGTGCCAGCCTTGATCCTCACACTAGGTGCGCTGTTCCTCCCAGAAACTCCCAATAGCCTAATCCAACGCAGCAAAGATCACCAAAAGGCAAAGCTAATACTTCAACGAATTCGAGGAATAGATGATGTTCAAACTGAGCTTGATGGTCTCATCAAAGCAAGTTCAACATCAAAAAACACCGATCACTCGTTCAAGCTTATCTTGAAACGAAAATACAGACCCCAACTTGTCATGGCAGTGGCGATACCATTTTTCCAGCAAGTGACAGGGATCAATGTCATAGCCTTCTATGCCCCTTTGCTTTTCAGAACCATTGGGTTAGGTGAAAGTGCTTCACTCTTGTCTGCTGCCATGACTGGCATTGTAGGCACAGGCTCGACCTTCATATCAATGCTCATTGTCGACAAATTTGGCCGGAGAACCTTGTTTGCAATAGGAGGCATTCAGATGTTAGCATCACAGAGCATAGTAGGAGGGATACTAGCAGCTCATCTGAAAGATTATGGAGGATTGAGCAAAGGGCATGCTTACTTGGTTCTGCTGATGATATGCATATATGTTGCGGGGTTTGGATGGTCATGGGGGCCACTGGGGTGGTTAGTGCCAAGTGAGATTTTTCCATTGGAGATTCGGTCGGCTGGGCAAAGCATCACAGTGGCAGTGAGCTTCCTCTTTACTTTCATTGTTGCTCAGACATTCCTGGCTATGCTTTGCCACTTCAAGTCTGGGATTTTCTTCTTCTTTGGGGGTTGGGTGGTGCTGATGACTGTGTTTGTGTACTATCTCCTGCCAGAGACCAAGAATGTGCCCATTGAACAGATGCAGAAGGTGTGGCATGACCATTGGTTTTGGAAGAGAATGATGGATGAAGGGATTGATAAGAGAGAACAAGAGAGTGGACTCTGACTCTTAAAATTCTAGTTCCAAGTTTTTTTGGCTGTTTAGGCATGATGAAAGAAAGAATTTTTTTTCATTCAGCTACAATGCATATCATGTCCTTGTAATTAATTGCTCAACAGCTTCTACTTCTTTCACTTTTCAAAGTAATTGTACGATAGTTATTTTTCAACTTCAAAATCACTTCTTTCACCAGATCTTCCTTTCATTTCATTCTATCCCCCAAACAGGCCATGGGTACTTGGCACAAAAAAGTTTTCATCATAACAATTATTTGATCCAATAGAGCAATGGAAGTCGCTTTCTATTGCACGAGATTGTATGTGATACTGGTAAAAAAAAGTGTCCATTTAAAGTTAAATTTTTCCGGTCCTCAGATATGGCACACTGATAAGGCTTCTTTTTCCCAGGTTTGTCTAGGTGGTGATTCAATGACATCCAATACTGAGCTTAAAAAAACTATTTTACAGATCAAGAAAATCATGAACTTAATAGATATATATATATATATATATATTACCTATATAGACAGAAGAATATATAAAATAAATAGAAGCTTAATAAATACTCAAACACAACATCTCCCCCAAAAGCTAGAGTATGAATAAGGTCGTCAGCAAGATAGGAGGAAAATAATTCAATATGTATGAAAAAAAAAATTATCCAGTCCATAGACAAACTAAATTAAGCCTTCTATATCAGTTAGCGGTAAAATGAATAGTCTAATTTTAGATACATATAGAGAAAATGCATATTCACATATCTTGGACCTTTTAATGTCGTCCAATATGCAAATAAAATTAAAGCAGCGATTTGGACTGTGTTTTTAATTTTATCTTCTCAGAGGATGCTTGAATGTTGCATCCCTGCTATGCTTCATAGACTCAGAGAAACCACAAAAAGATGTTCCTACGAAAAGTTATTATTCTGGACCATCTCACCTGCAAATGTTAATGATTAATATTACAGGATAATTTAATAACTTGAATTACAATGAAGCGGGATCGAGGCGCTTTACTACACTTCAATTTAAAATCTTGTCCCATAAATTAAATTTTTTTTTTCATCTTTATTTATGGGGCTCCAGTTGGAGATGTTACATTCTCATCTTCTATAACTCTTGTTAATAAAATTTCTCTTTCTATTAAAAGAAGTAGAATAAAATACAGGTCGGTGGTTCGCTCTCAAAAAAAAAAAAAATACAGGTCAGTGCATTACGCGTCTACCATGCCAGAATGGGATAAAACCAATTTAGGCTCATCAGATAAACGGGTTAGCATTTTACTTTTAACAAATATAGGACACGGAACATAAATGACGATCTACAACTCATCATCAGTTAACAACCTAACTACTGCAAAAGGTGCCTTGAGTTGAGTTGTTTGGCTCCAATCTCAAGTACATGTGATGATCCTTCAGAGGACTGTTCCTGCAATGTAGAAGCAACTGTTATGAATAGTCAGGGGATGGAATAAGAACAGAACAACAAAAGCAACAACAATTTCAGAGTTAACTCAAGTACCACATTTCGCAAGCCATCTTGAACATCAAAACAATTCGGGTTAGTTTGTTGTCTGAAAGGTAACTCTGCCTACAAACATAAATCAGCAGCAGGATGTCATCATTGAAATGCCTGACAACGATAATAATTATACACAGCAAGAATAGCCACCAATACCCTAGCTGTACATATATTCAAGAGTCATAAGATATGATGCAAGGGATATTACCAGGTAATGTCAAAGAGCAATAATGGCCTGTGTCTACTCTAGAATCCTTCGACATTAAAAGGTTGACAAGGCATTGAAAATGATAAGCCATTTGAAAGTAAATTAAATATTTTCTCCTTTCTTCAGTTCTTAGTATTAAAAAAGGTTAAATTAGATGGAATGCCAGTCCCATTCCTTGGAAAATATACTAGAATAACGTACCATCCCTTGTGGAGTTAGGTAGCGGCCATCATGGATATGTGTGATTGAGTTCAGTTGTCCCTACAACATGGATCAATCCAAATTCAACTGTTGAAGCCCAAAAAGATACAGAATATAGAAAACACACGCCAAAGACTAGCCAAATTTGCATTACTAGGCCTTGGATGTTATGGTTGCTGTAATAATCAGTACGATTGGCAGCTACTGAGTTCAATTGCCCCTAAAACATAAGATCGGAGATCAGTCAGAGTATCAAGATCATCAAGCACACAAAATTTGGGTATTAAAAGTAGAAATAAATATCTTGATACACGGCTGTAGAGGATTTCTTACCATTCCAGAAACAGTATGTTGAGTGGCATAATAGCCATCCAAGTTGTGAGATCTTGAGGTCAGCTGATCCTGAAAGAAAATTAACAGAAAGGGCCCAAATTTCAAAAGCTACAAATTTCCGGTGGCTTGAAAATAGTCACACCATGATACAACGTTTAACTACAAGTGCATGCAGTAACAATGAAACCATGCCATACCATTTCTTGAATGCTTTGTTGTGATTCATAAGAACAATCAAGGCCTGCTGCTCTTGTAGAGTTGGCCTATAAAGAACACAATTCATAAAAAACTCCTCCACAATGTGATATCACAATCAGCATCTTCTAGATGTTTCCAATAAGAAGATTCAGCTCACTAGCTATTCATTTCAAACTTTTTTAAAAGAGAAAGCATTGATAACGCAATGCAACAGTATAACCAGATTTTTCTTTTATATAGATAATGATATGGTACCAACCATTTGCTGCCAGCTGCTATCAATTCCAATAGCAATGATTTTTGGCTCCAGAAGTTCCTATTAATACATAATATTGGCGGGAAAAAACTGTCAAGTTAATGAAACAAAAATAAAATGAGCATGATGATTGACTGAGTTCTGATTGACCTGTCTTTTCTTCAAAGAATTGTCCTTTTCATTCATATTACAAGCAGAGTTGCTTATAGTCACATGATTAGAACGAAGAATTGGTAGGCTTGGTTCTATGATACTCTTAGTTGAGTTGATCATGCTCTCACATTTTCTCAATGCTTCTTCCAGTGCATTTACAGCAACAGTGTAACTTGCTTGTGATAAAGACCCTTCATCTCCCAGCTCAAACGCAAGCTGACATAGATTAGTATAGCGTTTCCTCCTAGAGTCTCCCACATCAGACAACTCTCTTGTTATTTGTCTATTCTTTGCTTCTTTTGTCCACCGTTTTAGTATATACTGAGATGGGATATTATGTACACCAGAAATTTGTAGAACAATCATTACATGCCTACAAAGAAAACCATTGAATTCAAATAAACGGCATGAACAAGATGTATCAGAAGTTATATTGTTCCTCAAGACGATAAATTGTTGATTATCTTCAAAATCTTGAACCCTAAACATCTTTATCGGTCCATTTTCACTTTCTTTTTTTGGATGGCAAGCAATAACTCCCAATACCTCACTTTGGAATTTCTTAAATATTGTTCGTGTGTACAATGTCACCATTTGTTTCTCAAAAGGTGAGGGGGATTTTAATACTGGTTGTTTATGAAAAGTTTCTAAATCTGCTTTAGCTTCATCTTCACATTTCCCTCGTAATATCACTTGGTATTGCTCTAAAAACTCTTTCAATTTAGTTTTCCTCTGCACATGTTTGTCTAACAAACAGTTTATAGCTTCTGAACGTTTCCTTGTAGACATTCCAGCTAAGAAAGTGTCTCCCATATAAGTAGGTATCCAGTATTGACGATCCTCATAAATTGAGCACAACCAATTCTCATCACTTAAATTGAATCTCCTAATCATTTTCCACCATCGCTTCTCAAATTGTTCATTTGTCCAAGACTTCAACACGCATTTGTTAAATTTCGTCATAAAATTTGCATGCTGCCGCGTTACATGACTTAACTTTTCTGGAATCTTGCTCAGGATATGCCACAAACAAAAACAATGATGAACTCCTGGAAGAACTTCAGTAACAGCTTCTTTTAGAGCTTTGGCTTGGTCTGTAAGTATTACCTTTGGGGAACATCCATCCATCGCCCTCAACCATGCCTGCAGCACCCATGTATAAGTTGATTTAGACTCATCCGACACAATTGCACATCCTAGCAACAGGAACTGATAGTGGTGGTTCACACCAATAAAGGGAATAACAGGAAGCTTATATTCATTCTTGATATGCGTGGTGTCAAGAAGAATCACATCACCAAAGTGTCTATAATCAAGCCTACTTTTTGCATCAACCCAGAAAACACTTCTCAATTGCAGCTCTTCACTCAGATCTACTGCATAAAAGAAATTAGGATTCTCATCTTGCATACACATAAAATGGTCAAGCAGAGCATGGACATCTGCTTCATCTAAAGCCAACTGCTGTCTATTACCTGAATGGTTTCCACTGCTACCTTTCTTATTGTCAACTTTTTTATATCCATCAGATTTTCTCGGCATAACACACAAATTTTTTGTTCTAGCCCTAGTAACCTGTAATGCATCGCCATTGCTACTCAGAGCTAGATTCCCATGTCCCGCAAAGTAAAAGGCTTGGTCAGGAAAAATTTCATGGTTATGCTCTTTTATGAAACTGCAGATTATCCATATATCATCTTGCCTTCTTTTGACATGCACACAGGCCTTGCAATCTGTTTTTGCCCAAGATAAGTTCACTCTACCTCTTTTCCTTTTTACAGGAATACTTGGTATGGTATCTGTTTTTGAAAGAGAATTCGAAGTTTCAGCTGCACAGGGTTCTTGCTTGTTTCCATATCTGCTACATGCAAATTTTGCATCAATAAATTTTCCAGATATTCTAGATCGGCGGCTAGCTTTTATTATAGCTGTAAATCCCACAGATTTTGCATAATCTTTATAATATGAAAATGCTTCCTCCTTTGAATTGAATTCCATTCCATCATGAGGCTCTGGTATTTTTGAAGAATTCAAGTTGGTTCCTTGTCCAGTGCACCCTTCCTTTCCATGATTTAATAATTCAGCATTGGTACCTGGCCCTGCATTCTCGTTATCATTTCCAACAACTTCTAAAGAGCTTCTGGGTTCATTGATATTATTTATACCATCAACTGCATCAGCAAGTACTAGATTCCTATTGTCTTCCTCATGACATTCTCCAGATGGCTGCTCAAGATCTATCCCCATACACAAAATTTAAGCTTTTCTTTCAACTCATAGAAACCTGTCTACTACATTTGAACCTATGGAAATAGGAGTAGAGAGTTGAAAACTATTAGATAAAACAAAAGGGAAGAATTAAAGTATGAACAACAAATTTTCATTAAATGTAATTCACAAATTGGTCAAATTAATGGAATATTTAAAAGCCTGGCAGGGATAAATCTATCTTCTTCATACCAGATAAAGAGAAAATTTTAATAAAACATAAAATCATTGACAGGGTAGGATCTAGCTAAATCCATTGACAGGGTAAGTGCTGTTGGAAAATAGGCCATATACTATATGTATGTCACAGACATGATCAGCCACGACCTAAATGCAAGAAGAAAGGGGTCTGCCAGAATTCTACATTAATACATCTGGAAACTTGAATGAGCAAATAGTTTACACGACACCAACCCCAATCTTCAAGAATGTCATAAGCTAGATGTTGAGGACTTGATCCTAGTCCAAATTCATGTCTCTTTCCCCAGTTCTTCCTCTCAGGCCTAGGCATCTTTTGCAACAAATATGAATATAAACTAGAGGTTTGTTCCAGATCAAAATACAGGATAAGAAAAATAAATATAAAAAATGTTCATAAAAACAGTCTCAATGAAGAGTTGTTCAGCAACAACATATGCTCCAAGATGAAAAATCTCAACTTGCCATCATAATCAAGAAAATTTCCTACTTGAACAAGCAGCTTTTAAAATAACATTCCATAGCTTCTATGCTGAGCTTGATAACCAATCAAACTTTTTATATTTTTTTGGGCCACAAGTAACCAAACAAACTTATTGATGAGCAAAAAAACATAGCTCTTATCAAGGGCAGTAAACACTCTTCAGTCCATTTTTTCTCCCAATCTGTTAATTTCACAATTACTAAACAGTAAACCTTTCCAAACAAAAACATTCAGCTTTTTCCCTTTTTTTTGGGGGGGGGGATTGTATAATTGGAAGATTTCAAACAGGGACCCATTCTTGGTGATATTTACCTGCAAGGACCAAGTAAGCACCTGATATACAGAGATAGTTATATCAGAAGTCCTTATTTACAAAAATTCTTTCACTTAAACTACAAAATAACTTTGGGTATGTACAAGATCCCAAGTAAAACACAAAGACCATCAATCAACCGAAAGTGAAATCACAAGCTGAACCATCCACTGCAACTTTCTTCCATGGAATTAAAATTTTTCCACGAAATAAATAAAAAGAATCCATTCAAATACCACTCAAACCCAAATTCGACTCAAGTAAGTCACGTCCTTGATATCAATCAATATAATCATAAAATGGAAACTAATTACGTAGAGGTTTGTGGCCCTTCGACGAACTTCCTAGAAACCGTACTTTCAACCGCAAGCTCGAACAAAAGCCACTGATTCTGGAGCTCGAAGAAGGATGGATAACATAAGAAGATTGTGGAAGCAACCTTGAAGAAGAAAGGCAGGGTACCTATGGAGTTTGACCGCTAGTGTCTTTCTTCGGCGATTATGCAATTGCAAGGTCCGTGACCGTGATGAAGTTCGATCACTCAGGTGCTCTCTCGCTGTTTTTTTTTTTTTTTTCCTTGTTTTGTGCCAAAAAGATATTATTTTTTTTAATTTGATTTCATGGTTTTTATCTGTTGTTTCTCTGTTCTCCTGTTTCTTTCTTTTTTTCTTTTTTACTGGTTTTCTATTTTCTTTTGGCAAGCCAAGAAGATATAACCGCGATAAGAATTTAAATCCTCTAAATTGAAAAATTCATGGATTTTATAAAGTTTATTTTTATAAGAGAAAGAAAAGTTTATATATTATAAAAAATTATAAAATAAGTGAAAATATAAAAAGAAAAAGAAAATTTCATTTAAATTTATGAATTTCGACTTCAGAGGTCAGCGTCTTTGACTATAATATATACATGCAAAAATATTTCATTCACGAATTGAAGCTTAAAAATGATTAAATTCAATTATTAACTCATTTAATTTTTTTAATAACGTGTCATGAACTCCAGTAATTCAATTCCCAAAATTAATATTATAAAGCATACAAAGTATGAATGCTATAAAAATACTCTCCAAATACAAAAAATTGAAATTACAAGAATATCAACAAGAAAGAAAATACAAAAAGGGAAGAGGAACAAAAATGGCCGAGAAGGAGAGGAATTCCCAGAAACCAACTCACAATACACACACAGATATATATATATATATATATATATATTATTTGTGAACTTATTTAAGTTGATAGGGACATTTTAATTATTAGATTTTATGACAAGTAACTTACATATTGCTTTTACTTAACGAGGCCATGCTTGCCTTATTGTGTTTTATATGAGTTGTTTCTCTCCCCAAGTTATATACTCTCTTTTCAACCAATACATTCTTTCTTCACTAAATTCTCATCTAGAGCTTTCATACATCATAACAAACCTATCCTAATTTGCTTCAGTATTACTTTACGGTCTTTTTTCTTTTTCTGGTAGGAGCCAATTACAACAAATTACACCCCCACGCTTTTATACTTTGGGGTCCACCTAGCCCTCTTATAAAAAATTAAGATCGAGTTTGAGAGTTTAAAAAAAAAAATTTACTCAAAGTTTATTTAAACTACTTGAATAAATTTAAATAAATTTGAACCAAGCCCAAATACATGAGTTCATTTTTTTTAAGATAAAAATTGAAAAAAATAATTTTTTAAAATTAAAATTACATAAAAAAAATTAATATTTAATAATTTAAATATTTGAGCACTTTTATATGTTAAAATATTTTAAACGGAATCTGTTTGAATTACCAGTTTTAGGAATAAGAAACTATAAGCGCCTGACAAACCTAATGATTATGAGCCTTCTAGAGCAAAGTCTAAAATCACATATTTAAAGAGTGGCCAAACCCACCCTTGTAACTATTCCCCAACATCTGTATAACCATTGACAGCTTGACAAAAAAAAAATATTAATAATAGAATAAAATTTACTATATATATATATATATAAAGTTTCTCTTCTAATAAAATTTGCATAACTCGGAATGGTAGATGAGGTGTGGATAAAAATCAAGAATTTAATCCAGATAAAAATAGGTGTAGAGATTGAATAAAAAAATGTTAATCAAGCTTGACTAAGTTAAAAATTGAGGTATACTAAGGCACTATTTGATTTCTATTTCTAAAAATTGTTTTTGGTTTTTAAAAATAAAAAATAAAAAATCATTTGGGTAAGTGTTTTGCATTTATATATTTTTAAAACTGTTTTTATTTTTTAATTTTAAAACAAAAATGAAAACAATTTAGAACAGTTTTTGTTTTCCTTTTTCACTTTTGAAATACATTTATGTCTGACTATTGTTAATTACCTTTAGCCATAATTAATTATTATCATAAACCATTGCTATTAATTATTGGCAACCATTATTTTTTTTTTTTGATTAATAAGATAGGCTGTAGCCTGAGCAACAAGCTTATATAGTTTTGTCAGACCAATACAAGTCACTACAACTCACCAAGAGTTCAAACCAATTGAAACCACTATTGTTAGCCTTTTTATAACTTTAAAATTGTTTTCAAATTAATATAATTAAGTGAATTTTTATCTCGTTTTGTTTTAAATATTTTAATTTATAAAGTAGTTTTTAAAAATAAAAATAAAAACAAAATCAAACAAGCCCCTTAATTACTCAATGGAACATGTTAGAGGTTTACTTGTTTAAATACATTTTTATGAGAAAATCACGTATCTATATCCTATGGCAAAGGCTATAAAGCCTATTTTGTCCCTATAAGTTTCCCAAGCGATCACAAAACTATCAGTTCAAGTCATCACCATCATCTTCTTTGGTTATATAGCATTGCCTGAATAACACACAAGAAAATAGAAATCTTCCTCTTTAATATATCTATATATACAGAGTATGTACACAAAATTGAATATGTCAAATTATGAATTCTAAGTTTACACTTTTATTTATCAATCATTCATCAGGTTTTTCTTCACATCCCTATGCTGTTGTACAACCAAAACTGAACCATGAATGGCCAGTTCTGAAGATGCCAAAACATCACCAACTATTCCAAGTTCTGGACACTCCTCCCAGTCACTCATACCAATTGTTAATGAACAATGCCCTCTTCCACCCTTTCCTACTATAAACAATGAATACATGTCACCTATTTCTTTGAAAACTTGAACTGTTTGTGCCCCATTACTCACAAACTTCTCCACATACCCGATCTGACCCGATGCCACGTACCGGTTGTAGAAATCAACCATGAAGGTATTATCAATCTCGTTCACAGTTTCTTGCCCTGACAATGACATTAAAATTTCTTGATCTTCTGATTCTTCAGAGGAAGTCTCACTTCGTGGCATGGAAGCAAGCAAGAACCGGATGATTGTCAAGTTGATTTTTGAGTGTTGTGCGATGCGTATGCTCCAAGCAATCGCCTCACGATCATCTGAACCTCCAAAGAAAAGTGTTACAACATTTTGTATGCCTTCAGAGGCTGTTAACTGTGAAAAGCTAGGAACCCTACTTAGCCCTCTTTCTACAATGACACCTACCGAACAAGGGGCGTGTCTGAGAACCTTCTGATTTGTAGTCCTTATGCCTTCTTTCCCACTTTCCAATTTTCCATCAATACGTTGGTGTTTGTGAAAAGGAAGCAAAATAATAGTTACATGTAAATCTTCTGCATCATTGCAGACATCTTCATACAAACTTGGGAAAGAAGATACTGCCTTTCTTTGGTGGATCAAAATCTTTGTTTGAGTAGTGAAGTTGTCAATAGCTTCGTTAATTTCCACTACATCATTGCCACCATAGTCATCGTCATCACTAAGCTCAGCATTTTCTTTTTGGTGGTATAACATATTTGACTTGATCTTCTTTACAAGCTCTATTAGGTGCATTGAGTAAACAGTAGCTGGTGATGTTCTAGAGCCATTTATTGCTAAAACCAATGCTAGTACAGCAGACACTTGACGAGGATCATACACGCAAGCTAGAATTCGAAGCTCATGCTCCACTTGTTGTGATTCAAGAGTTGTATGTTGGTTTGCAAACATTTTATCATCAGCTCTGGTCAGAGAAGCAACAATTATTCTGATATAATTGTGTTAAGCACTATTGCTACTAACAACACATTGTAAGCTTCTGCAGAAAAACTCTGCAGATTAAAAGAAGAGCCAATGAATCAGTAGTTGAAGTTGAGATTTTAACTGTGAATGAGTTTAATGATGTCAAGACATAAACTTACAATTATTCCCTTTGCCGCTGCACCAAAGAATAGCAGATCAGCATACCCTCTGGTGTTCAATATGAAGCCAAGAAAAATACCTTCACTTGGAGGAATTTGAAGGTAACGACAAGCCAGAAGAGTGCCACTAAGCTTACTGCCAATACTCAGTAAGATCAATATGGCGACATTGGTTACATCATTCAAGTTTCTTAAGGCAATGAGGTTACACTGAAAGCCTAAGTAGCCAAAGTACACTGGAAGTATAAAGTTGTAAATAGAATAACCAAGTTTATGTATCAATGTTCTAGCTGTTTTACCTTCCCTTGGAAACATCAAGCCAACTAAAAAGCAACTAATAATACTGTTGAAACCCCAAATTTCTATAATCATTGAGTTCCCTACAAGAAGGAATAGGATGAGTAAAAGTTGTGGAGCCTTTAGGTACTTTTGGTTTGCATGTCTCTTATTCAGCCATAAGGCTAAATACCTGTTTATCAGAATCAACACCCCAGTAATTAGAAAGCAACCAAATCCAGCCAGAATACTTTTTGTATGCCAGTTAACTAACAGATTGAAAAACAACAAGCAAGTCATTTCTATGATTAATGCAGAAGACACCGCGATTCGCCCCATGTTCGATGCAATCAACCTCATTTCTGATGCCAAACGAATCACCAAGGGAGAGCTTGTGTATGATACTATAAGCATAATGATCATGCAAAAGTATGGCAAAGGGGCATTGTTTGTTAACTGCTTGTACAGATAAAATGACACTCCTAAACCAAAAATGGCTCCCACAGCAGCACCACCACAGGCTACCAAGCTGACTAGACGTAGATTGAGCATTGTGTATTGAGTATTCATCTCTAATCCAAACAAGAACGTGATGAAGATTCTGCAGAAGAAGCTCACAACTTCATAGTAATTTGTGGAACTCTGAAGGAAAAAATATTCTTGTATTTGCTTAACATGAGATAATGCTGTTGGCCCTAATACCACTCCAGCCTGTTCAACAATAACACAACCCACAATTTCATCATCATCAATGAACTTGAATCTCTCCATTTCAAGCTGATAGAGTCATTTTCAAACAGTGATATAAAGACCCCGCCAAAATGTGAGTGGGTCACAACATACTATAAAGTATAAACTATACAGTACAGCTTTCTATCTATGCAATTGACGCTATCAAATTTCGAATGAAATGATTCAAATCCATCTTCCATGATTCAGTGAGGGAAAAAAAATCCCAAAATTAAAAGTTCCAATCGGGAAAAAAGAGGGAATTACCAAAATCTGCGCTATTGGTCCTGGCTGACCGAAAGTCTTGAGAACAACGTTGAAAAAGTGTGAGATGACGAGAATGCAGGACACTTGCATGCCCATGAGCTAAGAGGGTTGATCAAATCGTTTTGACGACAAAACATGGTGTGTGTGGCATCCATTTTCGCGTCAATTCTACGTCAGAAACTCAGAAATTTGGAGGAATCGTTGTACTGGATTAGGGAGAAAATTGATTTTTTTTTTTGGAAACAAAGTTGATCATGGGGATGAGATGGCCTCTTTGATTCAGATCCTATATTGTTGGAAGAAGACGCTTATTTGACATAACACATAACCCGCGTTTACTTGTTCTCCCTTCGACTTAGCAAATGATCAATAATTACAGGGTATGGTGCATTATCTAGCAGGGGTCACACTTCCCATAATATTTTTTCTTAAAATAATTAAAATATAACATTTTCTATCTTAATGTTAAATAATAAATGCTGATCATAAAATATTATATAAAAAAAGGTAGTTTGACTATTGAATAAACCAACATTTGTAAGTATTTAATGTTAAAGTGGAGAATACTATATTTTAATTATTTTAGGGATAAAAATATTACACCAAATAGCTTAGGATATCATTGGTCAAAAAAATAGTTTAATATATTAAGGTATTCCTAAAAAAATATTTTAAAAATAAAAAATACACATTTACTCTTAATTAAAACTAACATATGAATAATTAAACACTTATTTCTAAAGGTTAAGTCTGCCCGTGTTCTAAGAAAATTGTGTGTGTGTTTTTTTTGAAAAAAAAGCATTATACATAAATAGTGCAAAATGATTTAAATTTTATATTAATACTAATATTAATAATATAAATGTGCGTTTGTGTTTTGGATAGATATCTTTGGTCCTTTTTTGTTATCAAAGGTATCTCTGCTGTCAGTAACCATGAGATGTATTTCTTGAAAAATTTGAGCATCATTTAAGAAACTAACATCTGTCAAGCGCTGTTTTATAGTCATCTAACTTTATGAAAAAAATCATTTTGATTTCTTAATTATTAAAACAAACCATCAAATTTTTTTTGGTAATCTAATACGAATTAATATTAATAATATAATAATTTTTATAAAAATATTGAGATTAACTTTTAGGTGTTAACAAAATATTTGCAAATAATGTTAAATTAAATTAATTTGCTTAAAATAATGATGATTGATATAAAAATATTATTTGAAACTAACAATATTAGGGTTATATGATTAAAAAATATTTTATGAAATCAGAAATTAAATAAAAATTTATATAAAATTAAAATATTAGAAGTGCATTTTAACTAATATTTGTTTCCTAGAAATGATGAATATTAAATATTGATATCATCATATCATATATATATAGTGAGTATAAATATATATATATATATATATATATATAAAAGGGTAAAGTAGATAATTTGGCTATAGACTACTTTTTTAGGAGCATTTGGTAGCTAAAACTATCTAACTGATGTAAAATAAATCCTCAACTTTAAAAAACAGAACATCCAGTGGATTATCATTAACTTTAGTTAGTAGGCATTATATGGGGCCCATAAATGACATGTGATACTCTACATCAACATGTGTAAGTGTGCAAATTTAGTTATGAATTATTTTTGAGGAGCACTGGGAAGTTTTTTTATATAACAAATGAACCATTCAACATCTTTTATTAATTTTAAACTAAACACTAGTTACTTTTATAGTTATGAGACTCATAACGTATCAATTTCTCTAATTATCTTGTCTTCATTCTCAGTCTCAACTTAAAATGAAAAATGGTTCAAAGAGTTATTATCTAAAGATATTCACAAAAATGATGTTAATGAAATGGAAGCTTGATTTAATACGTGTGGAGAGATGTAACACCCTTAAAATACAAACTAATTTTTCACAAATTATTAAAACCATTATCATGGTAGAAAAATTTTCTTACCATGATACATCCAAAACATAACACAAGTCTTAAAATATCCAAAAAGGCAGTTTAAAACTATGAGGGACAGACATAATCCTTATGATCATATAAATACTTTTAATAAAAAGGATTAGAGTTTACATGCTCCACAGAAGATATGTCCTAAGTTGGCACAAGTACATTGTATAATCCAAAATAAGAGGCAACGTAAAAGATGGTGTCTCATACACCATAATTACACCTTGGTGCTTTCTCGGCCGGACTCGCTCCTGTAAAAATATTAACCACGGGGAATGAGACTTAAAAGTCCCAGATAATTTAGACTAGTAGATGCTCATAAAAAACTAGTATACGGCTAACTTTGCACTTTTACCTTTTATATAAATTATAACTTACATGTTGAAGTCTTTTGACCAAATATCTAAAATTAGATATTGGGCCTATTTGTTTTAACTTATTATTTCATGAAAAAATTATTTTCTAAATTTTCATAATGTTTGCCTAAACTTTTAAAAATGATATATTTCAAATTATTTAAGAAGTTATTTTGACTAATTTATGAAAATAATTTGATATGGTAAATGAGAGAAATAATGTTTTAAAAGTTGAGATTAAAAAAAAATATCATAAAAATTTTAAAATAATTATATAATAAATTATTTTTATAAAATAAAAAATAATCATAAAATTTAAAAATAACTAGCTAATAATTATTTCTTTTTTGCTATTGTAACAAAACATAAAATAATATTGGTTTTTTTATAAAATAAATATTTTTATAAAATCTTCAAACTATCAAAAAATTATTTATTTTTAAATTTTAAACAAAGGAAGCCATTGAAAGTGATCTTGGGCTTGAAGACTTCCTTATAAAAATGAAACATTATTTAGCAATCTTCCTTATAATTTGCTTCTGCTTTTATTTTTGAAAGACTAATAAACTGTAGCGAGTGTGTGCGTGCGTGTGTGTGTTATTGATAGTGTGGCAAAGTTGTTATTGTTGGATCAAAACAATTTGTTAATGGTACTTAAATGTTAATTTTGGTTAACTAGCTGGTGTTTGTACTTTACGATAAGGCAGGCCGGGGCTAAGTGAAAAAACAAAAGAAGTACTGAAGTACCGTTAAAGTAGTTTGAAGCATCCAGAAGAGCAAAGCAAAGCACGCGTCGTTCACGAGATTTAGGTTCGTGGTTGCAGGTCATTGGTTGAATCAAACCAGCGACGCCTCCACTGACCACTTCTAAATTCTTTTGCATGAGCTCTCTCCTCTTGAAAGTCGCAACTACTATCGCTTTCTCTCACTCTCTCTCCTCGATGGAATACTATTTTTTTTTTACTAATACTACTATTTTTTTCCCTCAGTGAATCTCTCTCTCATCGCGCATCGACTTTTGGGTTTTATTTTCTCATGGCCTCTTCCTCTCTCTAGACATAAAAAGCAGCTGCCAAGATCTCTCTTGCTGCTGTGTCTCAAGTCAGCTCTTAGCGAAGGTAATTTTGATTGATTCTTTTCAACTGTTTTAGAAGTTTAGGGTTTTCGTATCGGCTTCTTGATCGCGTTTTTTTTTTTATTGAAGAAATTATGATTTTGATGCAAAGGAAAACTGTTTTTTCCCCCCGTTTTTGTTGATTGTGTTGTTTTGGGGGAGGCTGCGCATCAAGATTTTTTTTTTTTGAAAGGTTCTGAGAGAGATGGTGCTGTCTTCATTTGTTTTGTATCTATCGTCTTCCCTGCTGGCAAACTGCTTGAGAAACGATTTTGGTCTTTAAGTGCAAACCTTTTGGGGGGTTAAGTCCTTTTCAATATTTACTGTTTGCTCCTTATGATCTTGCAAGATGGCGGGAAAGTGAAGAAGTTGACTATGTTGGATAGTATGAATTCATATAAATTGATAAGCTTCCTGTTGACAATCACCATTGTGTGTATATTGTGAAACAATAAATAATTACACTGCTTTTAGTTGAAGTCGTTAAGAAGTTGTTATTGAGTTGATGAGTGAGTACTTTCCAATTTCCATTGATTTAATTTTCATGAGTTCTCTTCTGAACAGCATCGACTAATAATAGTCATTGAGGTTGATTTTCGCCCTTGGTTCTGTTCAAATGCCTTCTGCCCTCTCACCTCAGTGGCAAGAGAAGGCCAGTGGTTTCTTTTCATCCTCAGGTAGCTAAATCTATGCTCTCTTTTTCGTGTTCACTCTATGGCCTCGATTTCTTTGATTGTTCTCAAATGTAATTTTAATGCAGGAGTCAAACTAAAAGAGGCTAGGGAGTCAGCAGGAGCATTTGTTGGGGAGGTCACAAAGGATGCAAAGAGTAATGTTGCTGATGTGGCAGATCGAGTTGGTTCAGTTGTCAAAAGTCGATGGGCAATTCTTCAGCAGCCATCAACAAGACATGCTGTCCAGGACCGATTGATAACTGCTGCTGCTACAACCGGTACATTGTTAAGGAGAAGCTTGACTGGGACAAAGGATAAGGTAGCAGTTGGGAAAACAAAAGTTGAAGAGGTAATATAGCTCAATAATTGGTTTATGTATTTTGATATATTATCATTATATTTCATACAGTAGTGATACTGATCAACCTATTGAAACACTTGTTCTCTGAAATTTTCATTATCGAAACTGATAATCTGTTTCTGTACTGCTTGTTATGCTGTCTATGAAAGATAGGGCTTCTTGTTGTTGTTGTTATTGTTGAGAAAGTAGGTTGTTTGCGGAACCAAGACTTCACATTGTTTTCTTTTAAACTGTTTGCTTTAGCTTAGGTTTTGGGCTTTTACAGATTGCAGATTGCTAGATAGTATCTGAGGCCAACATAATAGGTCCTTCGTTGGTTTAGGTGATGACTAGACGTTGGTGTTGTTTGGTAGAGCTTCCACTAACTTAGCTTAGGGATATCATGAAGTAACATGCTTATACTATCACAGTATAGGGATAGCTTAGGAATCTTCTTGTTGATTTCATAGTTTTAGATTTCAATGAAGATATTCCTTTCAGTCAAAAGATTGCATTCTGATTAATTGTGGGTTACTTGATTGTCACTTGAATTCATTTTCAATCTGTTGGATATTTGATAGCTTTTAGTTCTCTGTTGGCTTGATTTCAAGCTGTTCTTGATTGGGTACTGATTAAATGGAATTTTTATTGAAAATTATCTATCCTTTGTCTTTCTCTCAATCCAATATTTGCTGGTCCTACATAAATTATTGTCTCAGTAAATTTTTCCTGCACTAATTTGGTGATTAGTTTACTTTATTTTCTAACTTTTTTTCTTATTTGTTTGGCTTCCTGATGCATATTAGGTTGCAAAGAAAACTGCACAAAAGAGTAAGACAATATTGACAGACATTGAAAGATGGCAGAAGGTAAATGACTTTAAGCTGACTGTGTCCTACCTTTACAATTATGCATTAATTTAATTAAATAATCTAAATTTTCTTTTGCAGGGAGTTGCAAGCACTGATGGTAAGTTTTTTCTCTGTGTCATGGCTTTTTCAATGACTTTGATTGATTCTATTAGCCACCTTGGGGACAGAGTTACAGTTTGGAGAAGAGCAGTGCCATAGGAGATTAACTATTAAGTTGTTTGGTGTCTAGAACACTTTATTATCATGCTATAATTTTCATTGTTTAAAATTGTTGACAGCATGTATTATGGTACTTAATTATTTTTTTCCAGTATTTGGAGTTCCTATTGAGGTTACTGTACAGAGGCACGAATCCTGCAGGCCTATTCCTCAGATATTGGTCAAATGTGCGGATTATCTTGTATTGTCAGGTACCTAGTTTGAGAGGAAGGGTCTGCATGCACAAACAGCCATTCTTTTGTTGTTTCAGTGCTATAGTAATCTCTTTTTACTCGTTCTTTGTAGGGTTGAACTCCCCATACCTCTTTAAATCTGAAGGGGATAAAAAGGTTATTCAACAGTTGGTTTACTTATATAACCAAGGTGCTGAAGTCATCCCGTTAGCTAGTGGATTTTATTGTAGTTTTTAGACATGGATAATGGACATCCTGTTACCATTGTGTTGCAGATTTAGCTGCATCAGTACCTGAAGGTACAAACCCAGTTGATGTAGCAGCTCTTGTCAAATATTATCTTGCTAGCCTTCCTGAGCCCCTTACAACACTTGAGCTTTATAATGAGATCAAAGGTGCTCGATCCAGTGTGCATTCAATGAGAAACGTACTGAAGAAGCTCCCCAGTGTAAATTACATGACTCTGGAGTATGTAACTGCACTATTGCTTCGTGTTAGTCAGAAGTCACTTCTCAATAAGGCAGGATACATCTCTCTCACTCACCCTGTGTGTGTGTGTGTGTTTGTGATTTGTCTGATTGTGGGATAAATTGTGGATCTTACATATGTGTTGGGTTGTGCAATTGATTATTGTATCACTTCGTATGCTGGAACCCTTGGTGGGCAACATCAATGAATGATATTCTATGTTAAGAATGAAAATCCGTTAATGGACTGAAAAAGAAAATATGTTAAGGCATATCTTAACTAGCATTTGTTGTTTCTGTAGTTAACAAACTTCTGCCTATTTCCTAGAAAGTACGAAGTGGATCACATATCCATTGCTGAACTACCACTGCTCTTTTGTTCTTAAGTTGTTCTCTATTGCTTTTGAAGTTGTTAATATTGTTTTTAATACTAGAATTGTCTGACTTTTGCAGCTTTGTCAATAATCAAAAGTTAGTTCTTTCTACATGTCTGTCTTTCAACTGCCTTAAAGTATTGTATTTTTTATTTTGTAGCTATCATTCTCCATGTATGTATCACTTTCAGGCTTTTGTTCATATTCTTATTTAGGGCTTACTAAATTTGACTGTTGTGTTGGTTTTTTAGAGCAAGAGTCATGACTATTGATATATAGAGGATTTAAGATTTTGGTGCTCTGATTCTCATATTATTCAAGTCTAATAAAGCATAATACATCTCCTAATTAAGGTCCGATTATAATCACACAAAAAAGGAGATGAAGTGTTGACCCAACTATCAAAATGAGGAATCAAATAAAGTATTTAAATATTATTTAATGGGTGAAAACAGCATTAGATCCTCAAGAAAAGGAATAAAAAGGCATTAAAGCCTGAGAATGAACACATGTTAAATCTGATTTCAAACAATATAACTATAGAGTGTAAATGTTGTCCGATATATTTAGGAATTAGGAATATGAAAATAATTAATATTATTCATAACTGAACAGGAGTGTATTAGAGGATAAGTCTGATAATCTGTCTATGAATGTCGATCAATGGTATTATCCTAAAAACACTACTCATTAAGTGCCAGTCTGAAGAGACAATCCTATTTCAAAATAAACATGAGGGCATTTTATATCCTTAAAAGAATTTACCTTTTGCTCTGACTAAATACAATGTGGTGAGAAAAAATCTCTCATACAACAGTCACAGATATTGTAATTCTCTTAGGTGGCTCCGTTCTTCTTCTTCTTCTTCCTTTCTACCCCTCCTCCTTCTTGGTGGTGCTTCTGGAGGAGGAAGGTGGGTAACAGTCAGCATGATTCTTCTCTAATGTGGTGGATTTGGCAGTGGCAGATGCCAGAATTTTTAGCAACATATTTCTATCTTCCGATCTTATCTGAAATAGTATCATTTGCTAGCTTTGTTATTTCTGTTAGTGGTCTTGTTAGGTCCTTTTGCTTCTGATTTACATAAGGATTGGAGTATATTTTTTCTGTTTAGTATCTTTATTTTCAGTATTTGGAGAATTTCTTGTGTTTGGTTTCTTTTGACCTTTTCTTCAATGATCTCTAGGTTTTTCTTCCATCTAAAAATGTGAAGAAAATACAACTAGTTTCTTAGATGCATGAATTACTTACCCTTTGATTCTATTTAGTGTTTGACATCCAGCACATTCACCCAGTTTTCAGATGCTAATACCCATTTGATAAGTATGCTCGTGACTGTTGACTTTATGCAGATGGATGCTCACAGCCTTGCAATGGAAATGGCTCCTGTTATTATGTGGCAAAAGGGGTCAAATCCTGAGTTTTATCGTCACTATTGGAATCAGCTGACCAAACGTCCTTCCAACAAGAGCTTGGATCCACCACCTGGTGCTTCCTGGGACATGCTTAATGGTGAGTCTGATGTTGCCAACAAAAATCTTCTTCTATAATCTAATCTAATTGAGTTGACAGAAAATGTTGCAATGGTCTATTTATGGTTTCATCTAGAAAAGATTCCAGTTATATAGGAAATTTCAAGAAACCGCCCTGATCAATTCAACCCTGCAAATGATATCCATCTGAACTGAATATTAATTGTTATTATTGGCAGTGCAACTAATGTATGGCCAGACGGAAGGAGATGAGGCATCAAAACTAGTCTTATACATGTTTGATGCAACAAGTTTTATCGCTAGCTGCAGAAATCAGGGAGGGGAAAATGCTTTGATTAAGATATATTAATGAAACTGTTGGGGACTTGTTACGCTTACGCCCCTTGTTTTCTTCCCAAGCTGTGTGAATCTCTTAATAATTATAGAGCTGGAATAATACAAGCATTTTTTTAATGAACCAGATTTTCTTCTTACATGTTACTGAAATTTTGAGTATGTGAAACAAGTTCTTCTTTATAACCAAAATATCTGAGTGAGGTTTAATTATTTATTTATTTTTTAATCTATTTGACTGACTATGTATAGGCTCTTCGTTCCTCAGGGGATTGTTAAATAATTGAAAACTTTACATGAAGAAGTGTAATACTTGAACTTTATGCACTCTGAAAATTGCATTCTCATCTTATCCTATGTAGCACGGATACTTCAAAAAAGTAAACGTACCCGTATCCGATACGTATCCGATACGATACTTGTAGGATACTTCTACATACGTATCCCATATTCTAACATTTGTTATATGATTTTTTTCAATAATTTTTACTATATCACTTAAAAACTTGAAAAAACACTTAATATTTTAGTTAATTACTATAAATATCCTTATATTGCTTTAGAAATTCTTGTTTAAAAATCAAAATACCTATACTTACATCATAAAATGTTGAAATATACATTATAAATATTCCCGTACCCGTATCCTAAAATTTTGAAAATTTGCCGTATCCCCGTATCATGCCGTATCGTATCGGATACTCGTACCCGTATCTATGCAACCTAGATCTTATCTTATACATAAGAAGTTAATTTTACGCTTAATTTTTTTTGCTGCTTATATCAAAGTACTTTTTTCTGAAGAAATATGTGGTGTAGGGAATAATTTTTTCTTGTGGTGTATGGAATAAATGATAATTGCTGATGGCCTTTTTTTCAATTTATGTTAAATCTTGTGGTGCAGATGAGGGTGAAGACTTAGATGCATCCTCTCCCATTCCTTTGGATGATGGAACCCCGGTTGACTTTGCTGCAATTGAGGTGGTTCAATACCTCATCGAACATCATAATGCAATTTTCACCGATGCAAATGAAACAGTGTGGAGATGAACAACACTGTTCCTTCTTTTTCTGCACTGGATTCAATGATGTGAATATCATAGAATAGGAGCTTCTTTTCCCCCCTCCTTCAACCCTGAATTTTCTTTCCAATCTGGTCAAAGATCATTATATTATCAAGCTATATTTTTGAAGTTGGATGAAGGCCACCAAGCTGGGGAAGGATTTCTGATGCTAGTGTGGAGTTATTCTGATTTTCTTAGTTCTTTTGTTCTTGGTTTGGATTTTCATAGTTTTATACATACATATACATACATATATATAGTTGTGCAGCTTTTACTTTAGAAAGCAATAAAAAGCAAGGGAGTTGTACTGCTTTCGTTGATGTCTTGCTTGAGAAATTGGTGTAATAATGACCCTAAACTATACATCGCTTGGATGTGTTATTGTGGTTATTTCTAGGATTCATAATGATATGTGATTATTGTTCATAGTCAATGAACAGAGAAACTGATTTTAGCTAATTGTCATGGTCAATGTGGTTTACCTTTTAATGATATGGATTCATGCGGATGTATATATTCTCTTATATATCTGCTTAGCTTTTCAAATAAAAATAAGCAGGCGTAATAGATAGTTCAATTTTTTTTTTCAAGTAATAGTTACGGACTTTGTCATGATTTTATTAGATAAATAATTTGGATAATGATGTTATTCTGATTAGGGAACTTGGCAACTAGGATACAAGAGTTTTTATTCAAGTAATTTATCTATTTACGCATACCATTGATATTTTGACATAGATATTCGTGTAGGTTGTCTATTTACTTGCTCCCCATAAGTACAGAATACCGCAAGAAAGGTTAGATTAGATACCATTGAATTAATGGTTCATGCATCTAAATTGGTAAATTCAAGTATCCAATACAAGATTGTGAGTTGTGAAATCAATAAACTTAGCAAATTACAACAATTTGGTCTGAATTTCCACATCAGGCATTGAAATTGGAACATAGAAACTTAAGACAATTGAACAGTTCATTTCTCTAATGAAGCTGGAATGTCTTCAAAATAGTCAAATATCTCACTTGGGAAGTCCTCAAAGAGGCCACTTGCTGGGGTTGAACTCTGAGCAATTCCTCCCAATGCAAGACATGGCAATCTGCTCTCACCTTTCTTGCTGCTGCTGCTGCTGCACACATATTCTGGAACCTTGTGCTGTTCGAAAACATCAAAAAAGACAGCATCGAATGGCTCTGGATCAATCAGGCCATGGCAGACCGGCAGCAAGAGGCCATAGTCCACTTGGTGGGACTCAGTGGGAAGTACTTGAGAAAATGTGTAGTACTCTAATGAAGACTCAAATGATGGAACCATGTGTAGTGGAATGGCCTCCTGTGCTTCCAGATTCTGAAATTTCTCCGATGGGTTTTCCTCCAGATGATTTGAACTGCATGAAGGAACCTGAAATCCACAATCTTGCTTCTAAATTAGAATAATATCATTAGAAGTTTAGATCTTCTTTTATAGTTACTTTGAAGATGATAAAACTTTTGGTTTCTCAAATTTCCCCAATTATCAATTTAGTTTCTAAAATTTATTGCATTAAGTTATTTTCTTTTCATACCTCTTGAGAACTAATCGTGTATGGTTATGAAACTTTAAAGACTTAGATTGACAAAATTTGATATTCAAGGACTAATTTTTTTTTTTTTTGGCCAAAAGTTTTATTATTCCTTTACTTTGTAAAATCACTGAAACTTTTGGGGAGACTAAAACTTTTGGTACCTCAAGGTTACTCTAATTATATATTTGATCCTTGAAGTTTAATTATTATCAATCGAGTCCCTGAAATTTATTGTGTTATTTCTCTTTCATGCCTTAAGAACTCATCATGTATGATTATGAAATCTAGGGACCAAAAATCGATACTCAACCAAACTTGAGTGATTGGAAGTTTCATGTTATCCGTTTACTTTGTAAAAACATATGTTTCAACCTCATCATACATACCTCTTCAAATTGTGGTAGATTACGATGATGAATATGAGCTTTTTTTGTTGCTTTGTTATTCTTAAGTGGCTTTGATGATGGAGATGGTTTCTGTAACATTCTCTCCAACCTCTTTCTTCTGCTACTCCAGAAATTCTTGACATCATTGTCTGTTCTTCCTTCTAAGTATGTTGCTATTTTGGCCCACTTGTTCCCAAACTGTGCCTGCAATTCTATCACCACTCTTTCTTCCTCTGCCGAGAACTTGCACCCTCTGAGAAATTTCATTCAACCACAACACACACACCGATCATTTTCTTGCAAGCCAAACAAGTAAATCACGCAGATAAATTCATCAGTGTCTGTTTGTTTTCAACAGACATATTAATCTTATTAAAAAGATCTCTCTACCTCATTTTAATCTGTCTATCTCATTCGAACAATTAATGACTCTCAAAAAATCATGTATGCAGGATAGGCATGAGATATGATTATATATATATATGAGCAGTATAGTCTGTGTTATATGTTTGACAGATAAGCAAGTTTTTGAAGAAGAGATGATTTATAGTAATGAAACTAATAGCTTCTTAGCCAAACACACACATTTTCTTGCCAACCAAACACATTGTACGGATACTACACAAGAATCTCATACACAGACACGACAAACACTTCATGCGATGTGACCACTCTCTCTCTCTCTCTCTCTCTCTCTCTCTCTCTCTCTCACACACGCGAATTGATTAAAAATAAGAGGGGAGGGTCCAAGTATACCTTGTGTTTGATATACTCTTATGAACTCAGTACGGCTTTCCTTCATGATCACAATATCACAAATATATTAACATATCAAAGAAGAGAAAAAAAAACAGCAAAGAAACAAGAAGAAGAAGTACTTCACAGCAACGTTGTATACAAAGTAATCAAAAGAATAGCCACTTCTCAATATTTCAACTTGTTCTTAATTATGCTTATTAAAATATTGCAGAAGGCAACAAGCGTACTACAACCAAAAAAAAAAATGGTTCTAGTCCACTTCTCTAACAAAGTAAAGAAAACCCCACAACGAAACACAGTAAATTAATGAAAAGAAATACAAAAGTTTAGCAATCTTGTTGTCACGCAACTAAAAAGTGAAACCAAGACAGAAAAATGTTATCAAAAGAACACCAACATATCACAAAAGAAGAAGTGCTCTACTTCAGTACTACGAGAGACAGTAAACACGAAGGCAACAACAACCTAGTCCACTTCAAAAGGTTCGATCATGCATGTGAGAACAGAGATACCCACAAAAATGGTGTCATCTTACGTACGTCTTCAAGTTTGGCCTAAGCTTGTTAACCCATCGAAGCCGGCATGATTTTCCGGTCCGAGGAAGCAACCCTTTGGACCGAATGGAGCTCCAATCTCTTGGACCGTTTTTCTTGACATGTCTCATCAGAATCTCATCTTCTTCAGCACTCCATGGTCCTTTCTTTATGTATGTTCCTCCACCGAACTCTCTCTCTCCATCATCATCTTGCTCTTCTGGAAACATTATTTCTGAGTCTCTCGGTTTCATCTCTAAGAGGAAAAAAAAAAAAATAGTCCAAAGCTCTGCTCTGCTTTCTTCCAATGCTTTTTCCTCCTCTTCTCAATAGGGTTTCTCGGAAAGTGCTCTCTATTTCATGAAATGGTGATTGCGAGAATTGTATTTTGTTCTGTTCATGTGTTGATCATTTTGTAGAATCACTGTGCACTTGCGAGTGTACCGGACCATTTTGAATGAGTGGGCCCAGTTAACTTGGTTTTTTTTGTGTAAATTCTGACGTGGCGGAATGTTACTGGGTGGTCGTTTTAGTGTGGGATGCAGTGGATTGTTGTCCCCACTATCAGTAGTGACGGTTTTGACGGTTAGTGGGAACATGACAACCCGCCTTTGATCTCTGTTCAAATCTTTTTCTTTTTATAATTTTTAAGATACATATAAGGTTATTCGATAAATAATCCTTTTATTGACCCACAGGGACAAGGCAAAGACTGAAAACAAATGAATAAATGGTATGTATATTTATTGAATGTGTGTGTGTAAATTAAAAGCAAAGAAAAGCAATAAAATGATCTTTTGCCCAGAAAAAATAATAATAATAAAACAAAGATTCTAATGTTCCTATAAACATAGAAAAGGTGCAAATGAGTAGCATCATTTCACTTTCATAATAAACCCATCAATTGATGTCTCATTGAGCCTAAACATGTTTATAGCATACTTCCTCTGTTTTCAAACACACTAGTGCAAAAAGAATTTTTTTGCCACAATTAAAAGGCATTTTTCATAATAGAAAGTATATGGTATGTAGTGAAAGGTTATGTGGTAGTAATTGATCTACCCCTTAGATAATTTTTGTTTTAATATCTGACGGATTTACCCCTAAACTAAAACTTACTCTCTCCATTTTTATTTATAGGAAAAATTACTACTTTTTACTTATTTTTTATATAAATAAAATCACTTATTTCAATAAACATTTATTATGCATTTTTTAAATCACCTCTCATAATTTACATTAATAAAAAATAATTAACGCATGCTTATATTGATTAACATAAGATATTTTAGTTTAATTTTTTTATTTTCAAATATAATTATCATGGTTAATCAACTTTTTTTAAATTGTGCGATAAAATTTTTTTTAATATAAAAACAAAAGGAATGTTACATAACTTAATTTAATTTGAAAACATCAAAATTATAATTAATAACTTAATTTAATAGGTCAATTTATTCAAATTTAGTTAGACTGAAATTGATTAACATAAGATATTTTATTTTAATTTTTTTATTTTCAAATATAATTATCATGGTTAATCAACTTTTTTTAAATTGTGTGATAAAATTTTTTTTAATAAAAAAACAAAAGGAATGTTACATAACTTAATTTAATTTGAAAACATCAAAATTATAATTAATAACTTAATTTAATAGGTCAATTTATTCAAATTTAGTTAGACTGAATTAATTTTTTCTGAATTCACACATAATTAAAAATTTAATTAAAAATATATTTCAATTAAAAATTTTTATTAATTTATTTAATTTTATTTAATTGTCACTTAGGCATTTATGGCTACAGTTCTTTTATGAAACTGTGGCCATAAATGCTAATTTTTTAACTTATTTACGTATTTGCCATTAAGTTTAATATTATCACAGTTATTTAATAAATTGTGGCAAAAAATTGTCATTAAAACTCACGTTTGCACTAGTGACAATAGTCAATTTGGGGTTTTGATTTGAGTTGTTTTGCAAACAATTGTGATGATTATAACTCATTTGCAATTGAATTTAGGAAAATGATAATTATATATTTTGTAAAGATGTTAATGACAATTGAAGACCTTAAATTATTCAATGTCATGGAAAGAAATATAATCTTTATTTTTAATTAATATAAATAATTATCAAAATAACCAATGGGAACGGTAACTTGATTTAAAGTTAGTTGTAAATTGAAATAATGTTACATGTGAATTAATGAAAAATCAATTATGAATAGATAGATATAGTTTTATGAATTTATGTATAGTATTATATATGAATTTAACAATAAT